ATCCGTAGCCGACCCACTCCGACCCCTCCGGAGACCCCTCCCTGCTCCTTTATTCTATGCGCCAACCTGCCACTCCCAGCAAATTGCCGCCTCAAGCCGATTACGCCCTGCCACCGTCGCCGCAACCAGTGGTATGTGGCGCCGACACCTTACTACCTCCAGAAACACTCGAGCACTGTTCCGATGCTACGAGACTTTCTCCGTAGCGTCTGCGGCATTGAGCTCCTTCCGAAGCGTCGTCCGATTCGTCGCCATCTTCCTTCACCAACTAGCTCCTCTGAGTCCGAGCCAATGAGCAGTAGGAGCTCTCCCTTTTCACCCAGTGCCAGTCAGTCCCCCTATCCTGTCAGCCAACAGACTACTAGCACATCTACCCTTCAGTGGGTTGGTGCTCTAACTACACCCAATCCAATCAAGGACACCCAATACAGCCGTTTCCGTTTCATCGGCGGCAATGTCGTCTCCATGCGCCTCGACTCTCAGGTATTGCCCGCTCCTTGAGAAAAGCTCGTGGGCTGGAACGGTTCATCACGAGGAGTTCCTGGTCCAGTAAGTATGCAAATGCCACGCGAATGTGTTAAGTATAATCCTCTCTTTTTCGCTGCTATCTCTTTCTTTTCTTCCTTGTCTTTGTCGCTATCTGTCTCGTTAGTACTGTCTTGAAACACCATCTTCTTGTAACACCTCCTTGTCCTTGTCGTTATGTTCTCACTGTGCTGCTGTCCTTGTTTCCTATGCTTGCACTATCAAAAAGATTCTCCCTATCCCTGCTAAGTAACTTGCTCTTTACAATTGTTCTCAATCAATGCCATCGATATACGAGTTCGTAGTATTTAACTGTTCTCCAATGTTTTCATTCATATAGTCCTCATATCAAATATATCTCAAGAATACTAACTAGGACGATGTGTCATGGCTCACCCATGACACAAAGACCTAGTTAGCGGAATTGAAATACAAATCATACGAGGATGACAGAAGGTCAACGTAAAATAAAGTCACCATCACGGCGATCCTATTTGCAGTAGAAACTGCTTTCGCGACCTAGTCAGCCGGCTACGACAAGGTGTGTATCAGCAAGCGACTCAAAGGTGAAGGAATCCACCTACATTGGGTCGTCTGAAGCACAATTGGACCAAGAGAAAATCGAATCGCTGCTGCACACCCACATGTATCATAACACGATCGCGATAAGCCTAAACTATGGATTAGCAGGAGAAGAATAGAAAGAACGTGCGACGCTCACTTTTCGTGAGAAATGGTGACGAAACATCGTAGTGTTGGTACTCAGGAAATGGGGAGTAAGCTGAAGGAAACAGAATGAAAGACCTTAGTGCGACTGATTGAGGATACATCAAGCTTTAGGCAGCCCTTTGTAGAATTTTCCCGGTCGTTAGCTCCTCGGAGATACATCTTGAGACTGACGCACCTGTGCCACTCGGAAGCAAGATATGCCTGTTTTGAGCGATATACGCATACGAACACCTTAGCACTAGTAGCACTAGTACATCCCTTCGCCTTGGGAATATGGCGAGTAAGTTCGAAGGAAATATACTATTTGGAAGCTGGCGTTGTGAACGCTATCACGGTGAAAGTCATTCGCTCCTAGAATATTCTAGGTTGCCACAATACGAATATCAGGGTAGTCAAAAAACATCGGAACCACAGGTGAACGTACAGTTACTTCTCCCAAGGTGAAAGACACAGCAACTTGCAGTTATATTTGTGTGGCGGAAACTTAGACAGCCGATAGTAGACTTGGAGACATCAGCATCTGAGCATTCGGGTGAAAAGGGTGTGCGCCGAAGGGATAAATCACAGGAGGTTCGCGTTATTGTTCCAAATCTCCCCGGAATAAACACCGCCATATATCGTCTCAAAGAAAGTATGTCGTTCATGGCATAGCCGAGCCTCGGAAAGGTAGAGACTCACCGGAACCCTCCCACAAAAGGACCCATTTAGCACCACAATAGCTTTGGTACGCTGGCGGAACCAGCAGGTACTCGCAGTGGGAAAGCGTGCCGATATTGGTCCACAGAGACGATAGGAAAAATACTGTGGAAAATATCTCCCCTGTGGACTCGGCATTGTATGAAAATATCTTCATTATTACCTTGAATACAAAGAGATGAAAGGAAGAGGCTTACTGATGAGAAAAATAGGCCCCCAATACATTGCGTCCTTGCAGAAGGACGAGCAGCTCATAGACCTGATTATTATCCATCAAAAGCTTTGGAACATAAGCTTCGTGACGATTTGCCATCCATGGTCTGTTCGAATGGCGATTTGAATGGTCGCATAGAGAACCGATTTGATTTTGTAGTCAAAGGAGCCCACCATGGGCTCCGGACCGATGCCTCCGAACGACGAACAATCCGGCGTTGGCCCAACGTCAATCACGCTTTCATTTGCTGCCCGCAGCTCTGTTGGCATCAACATAAGCACTTGTTAGATTTCCCGAAAGTGCTGCCAGGCTGACAAAAAAAATTATGAACGATGTATTTGTCTACCCCAGCCTTCTTGTGGCTGTGCTACTCCCTTTCCAAATTGCGCACCTAGCTTCTTTCCAGACTCCTGCCAGTGCTCTGCATTGGCCGGATAAGTTAGGTAGGTCGTTTTATCTGCTGTCTTCAACAATTGTCAAGACTCGGAGCTATAATGAAGTCATCCAGACTCAGCTGGCAGTGCGTTCAATTGGTAGTGACTGCCTTGGCAGCAGTCTTTTGACAGAATTTTCCCTTGTGTTTAAGTAATCTTGAAGGAGACTATGCATGCGTTTATGCATATCAGGCCTGAAACGAGTCGCTTTCTCTAGCGACCTCTCACGCTGCGTGGCCGAAGGTGCTTTACTTTGTCTACGTGTCTCTTTGTCCAGTTGCTGATTTTGCTGTCAAGAGAAGGAATTCGACTGATGGGACGCTCGATTTCTATAAAGTAACAAACAGAATCATATGTCCTTACAGCTTTGTCGGACAAAACTACCTTCATAACAATGCGACGCCTCGTTGCTTACACGAATTTACAACAATGGCACTTCCCTTTCGGAGATTTGACGGATTTTACGAATCTAGAAGATCATCGTGATTCACAAAGGCCGATTCGAATAGATTTACCCGCCTTTTAAAGTCGCCGCTCGCTGGTAGAGCTTGCCATCTTCCACAAAATTCTCCCATCCTTTGAATTCACTGACGTTCACTCGTTCTTCCCTTCCCAAAAGAAAATATGGCAGTTAGTGGATTATTCTCTGTCATCTCAATGCTTCTGTTGATTTACTCGCACTTTCGTCTCTTCACAGCGCCTATCAACCAAACCTCGACCTTACCTCTGCCAGGCATGTAATAAGACATACATCACAAAATATGACTTGCGTCGGCATGCCAAGGTTCATTTGACTGGGGCGGCGCGTGACAAAGAGTAAGTGGCTAGTTCATCAGCATCAGTCAGTTCGTATCTGAAGACATACTCACCTAGGATGCATCGCTGTCCCATGAACAACTGCAGTTTCGAGACTTTCCAACGGAGCAACCTAAAAGTTCACATCAACGTTATCCAGCAAGCCACCTTTCCTTCGTCTCTTTGACAATCACGCTGACGCCACTCCCCATATCTTAGTCTTCGTCTCCAAAATCTAGTATGTCACGAATGTAAACCAGCGTACCAAACCGGGGACCCAGCCAATATGACTAGGCACAAAATCAAGAAGCACGGCCAGATCTCGACCGAGAAGAAACGCTCAAGAAATAAGGGTAAAATGAAGTTGAAGAACTCGCCAGTCGTCTTGAAGTCGGACTCAGATTCTCCATCTCTACCATTGTCAGCTCTTCCGCCACTCTCGCCACCCGCCTCTCCTAGTCTCTCCGTTGAAACGGCGCCAGAGCCAAGGCTCTTTGACGATGATTTCTGCTTGGATAGTTACTTACCAGCCGCATCACACTCCTCTTTGTCAAGCAGCGGTATCACTCCCCAGCCTATTCTATGCCCGCGCTTGCCGTCAATCTTCGACGGCCAATTGACGTCAGTACCGCAGCCCGACGAACCATCAAGCTCCTCGAATTCCCTTCCGCCTCTTTCCAGTCTTGGTCTCCCCCGTCCACCTCTCCAAAGTTCACTTGATTCGCCCTTCCTTTGCGACCCCCGACTGGACCCCATCAGGACTCCTGCTACCTCGACTCACTACAATCACCTCCGCCGCGGCTCTGAGTGGTGCATGCCCCCAAGGCCTATCCATTCGTATAACAATGACAGACGCCACTCAGAATCACACCTCATCACGCAGTCCTCTCATCGTCGTTCTCCTTCTCTCACGTCCTCGATCTCGGACTCGCCCCCGCCCAAATTTAGTGATCCCTTCCAGCCTGGCCGAGAATCGCATCTCCCTGCAAGTTCGTCTTCAACCTCACGTGCATCTTCTGTTGCCCCATCATTCAGTCTTTCACCTTTGTTCCAGCCCCAAGTTCAGCAAGTTTCCGCTACGTTCGAGCCAAGGAAATGGATCGTCACGGTGCCCTCAGAGTCAGCAAATGATACCGATGAGGAAATCAATGTTCGCTTCCTTGGCAGCAATATCGTATCCACTCGCCGTCAATCGCGAGTGTGGCCTACTCCGGGAGCCTGAGAGATGTGCTATGCTCCCAAAGATCTCGTCTCCATTTTGCCGCACTACACTTATGTCTCATTCTGTCACCACTACGTTTTCCTAGCCACCACTCGTTTTAGCTATCTGTCTCTAAATTAAATGGTATTTCATTTCTGTAATCTCGTTTCTTCATTAATGTTTAGTTCCAGCTTGTTGCATTAGACATGTCAAATTTACTATGAGGATCGTACTAGTTATTGCATGTAATCATTTTGCTAAGGAAATTAGAAGCTCATCATTAGCGTTCCTCGGAAGTTGAATACACCATTTGTCCTTCGCCTGTATAATGACTACTTTAAGTAATACTGTGACTGGGTCACTTGTGATGGTAGACAGATATTTAATTTCAACACGTTTTTTCGGAGGCGCTATGGTGTAGTGGCAGCACATGGGATTCTGATGTCCATCAATCCTTCCCATAACCCAGGTTCGAACCCTGGTAGTGCCTGATCCTTTTTTGAAACACCAGAATTTGAACATGACAACGATGAATCCTCAGGCCTCAGGAGTGGACATCCAGCATCAAGTCAACAGACTTCGAAGCGCGGCGAAGCTGGAGAACTCAGGTATCGGTGAGACTGTGATCGTAGTAATAAGTAATGAAGTCTTGACAAACAAAAAATTCGTATAATCTGGAAAAGTGGACACTGCCTTTGGCTAGGACTTTAATGCAGCCCATCGTATTATCATTAGTCATCGAAGTGATTTGATAGGCGAGTGGTCTCGCCTGCGTGTAAGTTAATCAGCAGTTTACTTGATCAACTTTTCCTGCTGACATGTTCAAGTTCGTTCGTGAGAGGACTCGAGACACCGAATACTCTTCCTCCCGTGTGTCAGCGAGAATGGATGATGCACGCCTCGACCGTCTGCTCCTCGGCTAGAGAGGTTAACGGTCCTGCACATATCGCGGAGAATACAATAACAATATCTATATGTCTATGTCTATTCCGTTTATTGATGACTCAAAATCCCGACATTTGAAGCCCCTACAGAACGTACTCCCGCTCAACATACCTTTGGTTCTCTAACCCCTCCAATATACGCAGCAACACATCGCCCACGGCGTCAGGTGCTTCTTGGACGACCTACTCTCCGTCAGCGTCCGGATGAGGGGAGACCGGTGGATGCATACCATGTGTCCGGCCCCCGGTATTCGGGTAACGGACGCAAACCTGCGCCCTCGAAGGAGAGACTCTTGCTTTTCCCGGGTGCTAATAGCACAATTAGACTCCATACAGTACATGTAAATGAGGCACGCACAATAAATCATTCCTCTCCCCATAGACCATATGGACCGGTACCTTCTTCCTCGTCTTATCCAGCTCTGCGATGGGGTATACTGCATTTATCTGGTTGATGAACGGTTGAATTTCGTGCTGGGGGCGACATCTGAGGGATACTCCTTCCTTGTCCTCCTCGAAGCCGTGCTCCTAGTTGATCAAATCGACATCAATCAACAACTGCGACGTCAAATTATACCTACAACATATAAATCCAAAATACGCCTATCCCAGATTCCCCATGGCGCGCGCCTCCCTAGATCCTTACGAACAGCATCTCTGCTCTCCCAAGTTGTCCGCCGGCGTGGGATAGTGAAGCAGGCGAGCTTGTAAGCAGGGGAGTCTGCAATACCGATCATGGATCCCGGCCAGATGGCGGGTTCAACCAGGATCAAGGCCGAGAAAGGCCGAGTGGTGGATTTTCCGCAGAAGGATGGCACTAATGCTCTGTTGCACAAAAGTCAACCTACAGCGTTAGATGGGAGATCTTCAGCAGGGACACCTACATGGATGCAGCCCCGGCAGAATGTCCTATCAATATAACTGGGTGACGCGTTCCGTTCAGATGGGTCTTGTACAGGTTTGCGCAGGCTTCGGCGTAATCGTACGAGGCTATGATTGTCAGTTACTCTCTAGACTCTCCGTGAGGGTTCAGACTCACTGTAGGTGAACCCCGGATCATCAATGGCATCTCTGTTAAGTGTAGCTGCTGCACCATGCGTTTGCGAGTCGATTGCCCAGGATTCAACGATGGGCCCGCCGTGGGCATATAGACGTTCGATAATTGGCTCCCAGTGCTCCTTATCTGTTCCGTTTGGTCAGTAAGAAAGTGAGAGGAGAAAGATAAACGTACGGAATCCAGTCCCGTGCGCGAATATCAGGATGTAACCCTCCCCTACGGCGGTAGACGGACGGTAACACTTTGCAGTAGAGACGAGAGATGTTCCGGTGCCATACGTGTCAATAATGAACTCGGTAACATTCATGATTGAGCACGGGTCAAGGAGGGATAGCGCCACAGACGTTGGTTATATACACCTAAGCTCCCTTACATTCAGAATTAACTGCAATCCCGACAGTGGACTCCGAATCGCAGCGGCGGCCAATATTTTGTTTTGTGGATCCGAGATGTGTCATGGGAAATTTCGTCGGTACTACCTATAACGCTTATGGTCAATATATACACTGCACTTTGCATACCGCTGCAATGAGTTAATGCTGCGTAGAGGTTCGGTCAAATCGGGTCCTAAAGATGGTCGATATACTAACATTGCACTATGCGTCGACGGACGAGGGTATTTTTGAAGACAGATCAATAACCTAAATTGCTAAGCACGACGGCCGCCGTCAGGAAAAAGTGAGGTTTCCGTTTTCGGAATTAGGCTCGCCAGATAATTGTTAACAATCAAATCAAATTCCCACCTCCCCGACTATGCATGCATACCACTACTATAAGTCCATGAAACGAATGTCATGTAGATACTTGAAGATATATATATATAAAAGAACCACAAAAAACACCCCCAAAGAACAAATCCTACAACCCACTTTCCTCTTCGGTCATTCTTCAAACCGAGAAATCAAACTGCTGGTCCCCCACGGTGGAGCAAGAAGCCAATGTCAACTGAGCACCAGGTTTAGCCGTGACGCACAACCCGTTGGTGTTGGAAGTGATACTGCATCCCGAAGCGACGACACCCTTCTTCTGGGAGATGTCCGTAGCACACACCGAGCAGTCAACCATCCACTTCTGGTTCCTATATATCGGATCAGTCGTGGAAATGTGTAAAAAACGAGATAAGAACGTACACATTACTACCTGACCAGTCGACATTGTCCATGGATAGCGCCCCACCATTGAGTTCGACAGCAAAGTTGTTGTTAGCCACGGTCCTATAAAATTCTTGTCAGCAAGCCTCCGGAACAAAGGTAAAATTTGCATACTTGACAGTGTAGCTGACAACGGGAGACCCGTTCTGCTGGAAGAAGAACTTCGAGGACGAAGAACTAGCAATGACGGGCGCGCCGACGGCGGGGTTGGCTGACCACGAGAGTGCACTACTCGGGGTGGACACAGTGAGAGCAGCGCCCTCAAAGTTGGGATGACAGTTACCCCGAGCGGCCAAGGGTGACGCGGTGGCAGCAGTGAAGAAGAGAGCGGAGAAGAAAAAGAGGATCGTCGAAGAAGACATTGGGAACAAAGTTGAAAAATAAGAGGTGAAAATGATCAGTTTTCAAGAAGACAAAGATCAAAAGGGCTGCAAGTAGAAGTTGAAGGTGATGAGATATGAAAGTGAGTGGATGGTGGCTTTTATAGCGGTTTCGCGACCAGCTGACGAGGTTGTCACATTTTGGGCGATGAGCGGTGAATGGGGGGCTGTACTAGACCGGCGAGGGCTATGAGAGAGGAAATGACGAAGTCTAGGATCGACTGTATTCACCCGCGGACGTGTTTTGTTACTGTTTTGGTTCAACCGCGATCCAAGAGTTGAATGCGGCCGGGAGGAGCTGTTGCTTTGTTTCAAGGGAGATCGCGCACGGGCGCACTTCCAAGAGCAGTAAGACTGTTTGCTGGGCATAGTCATCCGCCGCTCAGCAGGGTACCGTTATAGTCAATCTTCCCCGACTCATCTGAGTTCCTTCATGAGAAGAGTATCATTAGCGGCACTTTTCCAAAACAATTTACAGCGAAACGTAAGACGAAAGTCTCAGTAACAAAAAGGTCACACTGACTAAAATTAGAATTTTTGGAATCACTGAAAGAAAGCGGTTCTTCAGGATCAAAGGGATACGTACACGGACATTGTGATAAGGATCAGCCCTCGAAATGGTATAGTATGAAGCAGGCTATGAGCATACAAGTCTGACGAAGGTAAAAGGAGATGAACAAGTTTCATAAGAACTTAAGTGTCGTCATTCTCGGTAAACCTAGGAATCATCGCAATAGACTCAAGATCCGGTTTGTACACGTAGTTGAAGAATGCAGAATATCGGGCTCGAGTTTTTCGATATGCACTGTTTCTCTCCTTGAATCCGGACCGTACGGAAATTAGACGCGGTACTAGACATTGGTGACTCGACCACCTGAAAATAGGAGCGTAAGCAATGATCACTCCATTCCAGATAACAGAAGGGATGACTAATCTCAGAGTTATGTACAAAAATATCGTCAAACCCAGCGAACCAGGTCGTACTCATTAAAATCAGTTTTTTGGGTATCATTGAAAGGGACAAGGGATAAGAGCCGAGGTAATAGTACACGCACCATCATTATCATTACACAGCACGGTACCACTTGGGCACTATGGTTGTCATGCGTCAAAGGGCGAAGCTTTGGATTTTAGGGGGCTATGTGCATGAATTTGAATGAATTTGATTCCGTAGAGGGCTAAGCCCGAAGGTACGAGGTGCCTGCGAAAACGAGACGGTGAGCGACATGATCGCTAGACAGCGAGGAGAAAAGTCTCAGAGCAATAGAAAAGATATCGTCAAGCCCAGCAAGCCGGGTCAGGCTCATTAAATCAGATTTTGTTTTGGAATCATTGGAGAGAGAAAAATAGATTTTGATACACACCATGGACAGACCATCCGACCCCCACGCGTATTCACCAATGTCTCTAAAAATTGGCCATGATGAACAGACGGTTACTGCTGGGCACGGCATGCGGAGGGCAGGACGTGGTGGGCAAAGACAAAAGATGAGCAGACTTGGAGTCAACAGAAAATTTTCTATCTCCGAAGGGGCATGTCCCGGCCCTCTCCGATGGCGACCCGGACCGTCGGCTTCTTCCGCTCTGCTGGATGAAGCCCTTTCAGTACGAGAATGGGGAAATACTATTCCTGTGCGAGCTCTGATCCACCGCCCTTTGACTGCGAAGACAGGACAGTGAAAAATGCTTATTCAAGTGTCACATACTAAGAAGTAACTTGAAGTGAGAGCTCTCGTCGAGCTCGCGTCAGGATTCCTCAATAAACAAGGTAGAGCGTGAATAGAATACAGACGCATTCCTGCCATGCCAAATACATCAATCATAGTTGGCTGCTGAAATTGGATCTGTATCATGACAATTGTTATATACTTTAGCGCAGCGCACGCAGACATTTAGGATTTCCATTGGCCGTTCCCGATGACCATACGTTCTACAAAGTGCTAGTCAGTGGATAGCAA